ATGAACTCCGCGTAGATTCGGATTATCTTCGCCGGAGCGATGGACAGGTTCCAGTCGGAAGCATTCTTACAAGCTCAAAGCCGCAAAGCTTTGTTTGTCTCGTTGCGGCTACATCGGCAGGGCTGTGTGGTCCAGATACCTGCGCTGGCCTGAGCTGTGGGTGTTGGCAGGGCAGGCGCACAGGCGTGGACCACCTTCTCTAGACACTGTTTTTTTGTCGCATGCCCAAGGTTGACCAAGCCTACGTGGTCATTGAGCTCTTAGTAGCTGAGTGGCCATGTGAGGACCACTGCCGGGTGTGCAATTGGTCCGGGCTTGTCCTGCCGGCAAGGAGTGGTCGGTACTTAGTCCACTTTCTTGATGATCTGCTGCAGCTGCTCTGGGAGCCTGTGTATGTTAAGAGCAGATCTTGACGCGTAGCGTGGTACGATGGAGGAGTTCTTTCCGTATCTTTCGATCTTCCCAGGCCTCAGCCTCAGCAGTTTCTACGAGTTGGAGCCGTCATGCACTGAATGTCAACCGCTGGAGCCACTCGAGGTTCTGACGGCCACAGCTGTTGCATGCATGCTTGATGGCACATGCCCAAATCTTGTGCTGAGACAAGTTGAGTGGTCAGGTTTCGACGAAAGCAAGGAGAATGTTGCGAACTTTGGCACAGCAGGGCCATGTCGGCTGGAGTACATCACAGAGCAGGCTCGCTGATGTGGAGGATGCCAGCGGTCGATTTCTAGTTCGACTGTCTGCCAAGTCTTGTTGAGCTTTGGAGGCAATGGAAGTGATGAGCTCTTATAGAATGTATGGGCTGGTGGGCTGCAACTGTTTGGGCCTTGGGTAGAAAGCCTTCGGCTGCTTTCTGCAACTTCGACAGTCTTGAGGCCAGCATTTCGCTGTCGACGTTCTGAAACGCTTGCCGGGCATCAAGGATGCCCCGAGCCCCGATGACCAGCGTCTCGCAGAGGCCTTCTTGCTGACTCCAGGTGTTTTTTGCGAGTCTCTGCGTGTTTGATGTGTAGAGGTCATTGAGAAGAGCGCGCAGGCGGCGTGGGAGCCTGGCTTGGGATTGCTGTGCGGCTATTGCTATTGTACGATGCTCTGTGGTTGCTTGCTTCCACCAAGATCAGCATCACCAACGGCGTGTTGAAGGGTTTGGTTTGCAGCATGCTCAGCTTCAGCTTATTTCAGGAGGTGCGTCTTGGGCTGCGAAGCGATGCAGCTGCTGCTTCAGACCGTGCTTTTCAGGTGCCAAGACTGCGTCTACTTTGGGCAGCAGTATCTTGGATGGACGTTCAACTCTGCCAGCAGTTGCCGTATATTGACTAGATGATTAGATTGAAGAAGAGGCTTTCGCGTGCACGAGTGAGAGCTACAACTTATTCATGAAGTGCTGCCTTCTTCTGCTACCATCAGGTCTTGCAACAGGAGGAGTGGCAGGCGAGCTTGTGAAAGGGGAGAAAATCGGATGCAGCATTTTCATCTACACCCGTCATGCTTACTTGGTTTGTCGACTTGGGTAAGCAGAAGATGACAGTTCGAGCGAGGTGTTGCTGCCTTGTCTTGTAGGAGGTGCGGCCGGCACGATGGCACTTGGTGTAGGACGGCGGGAGAAGTGACACAACCTGCCAGATCGGCACTTGTTCGGATATGTATCTTGTTCTGATCGTTAAGATGCGTAGAGTCAGAGAGAGAGAATGCAAGTCATACAGATAGATGATAGAAGTGCTTGTCGTGTCTGCTTGGAAGGAGTGGCAGTGCTGACAGGGCACATCCTGTGCGGCTGTGCTGTCGGTGCAGCTGCCTCTACAGGTCGCCACCTTGCAGCCTTGCATTCCCTGCATTGCAAGGGCTCCGGGTAGACCTGATGATCCTGGTGCGGAGAGCTTCACTTCGATGATTGCACAAGGCGTTCGCAGAGGCTATGAATGGCTCAGCAACCGTCACCGCCAAGCAGAGCAGCAGGCGATTTGCAGCAGACGGACGGGGTTTTGGACCTGTAAACTTGTCGAGCCACGGTTAGCCTGTCTACACACGCTGCACTGTTGCTGGAAGTGTGCTGCTGCATCGCTCTGCAAACGTTAGGGGTGTGCACAAGGTTTAACCAGATAAGCGCTGACAAGCATGTCGAGAGCATGGCCGTTGAGCTACAAGTTCTGGGAGAGGAATTTGCCGTTCAGTCTGTGTTGCCCTGAGGCAGCAGACGGTGCTGAACCCAAAGCCCACATTCAGGAATGCTCGGAATGCAGGGAATGTATCCCCAGTCAGGGGGACGTCGTTGGGCCTTTGCAGCCTGACGAGTCCAGGAAACCCTCGTCAAACGACGTGGCTGAGTCCATCAGGGTAGAAGGGCCTCTGGGAATGATTTGAGCTTTGTCAGGTCCTGCCGAGTTGCACGGACATCTGTACAGCGACGGACAGCAAAGTGCAGGCCTGACCTCTGCCTGCACAATTTCGTGGCACAGTTCTCCAGTGAAGCAGTCCGGCCAGCACTGCGCAGCGATAGTGTAAGTGGAGCTGAGTTGCTGTGTCACGTTTTAATTTGTCATGGCCTCTGCCGGACTCCTGCGGTTCTTCAGAGCTGCCGTTTCTGCAAGAAGCCGTATGCCATATGCATCGACAGACGGGGATGCCATGTAATCTTCGGACAGGGGCAGGCAGAGCAAGTTAAGTGAGCTATGTAAGGGCAGGGTGTAGATGTTGACGGTGATCATGCTCCTTCGGGGATATGGTGCGTATGGCTGTCATTTCACCTTCATGACGCAATACCAAAAGTGACGGCATGAAGCACAAAACGCCAGCATGTTCTAGGCTTTCATGCCTCCAATGCAGAATACGTAGTCGAGGAGGGCTGGTATCGGGATGTTTTTGATTCGTGATGGCTTGTATGCAGCTCAGATGAGAACAATTGAGATCATCGAGTGGTTTAGCCGCTGAGATGTTCTGGCTGGTTGTTCCCGACGGCGGCCTTCGCTCCTCTACCACCTGTACAAAGTCGCCCTTTTCTGCTGAACGCACAACGGCATGAAACCTTCAGAGAAAAGACTCAAACCGCCTGGCCATCAAGAGCTGTACTTCGGCAAAAGCCTTACTCTGTGCTCTTCTTTCGGCCACGTTGTCGCTGTCGCAATTGGTAGCCTGAAGCTTCAAGGCAAGCTGTTCAGTGATGGAGGGGCTGAGCCTGTGCAGCCTGCACCAGCCTGCAAGTCTATCTTTCGATGCAGTTCCACCTCGTGTGTCTTCATTATGGCATCGTCATGGCTTTCCCGTGCCGCCTCGATGGCACAAGCAGCTCAAGAAGCCGCAAAAGAGGTACAGCGGTAGAGCTTGGAAGTTGGGGGCAATCGCCATGTCAGATGTGGCCCTGCAGGCTGCTGAGAAGGCGGCCAAGGAGGCAGCGAAACTCCGTGAGGAGGCGCAGGCAGCTGCTCGAGCCTCGCGAGCCTCGAGCCCGAGGTTTGAAGTGCTTTGCCTCGTCTCGGCTCGAGCTCTGAGGCTTCGGGGCTCGCGCAGGGGGCGGTGCCCTGGATGCAGTGCTGAAGGCCAGAGAAGTTGGAGTTTTGCGCATTAGATGCTGGAGCTTTTCGCGGGCTTGCAGGGTTAGCAGGCACTCTGCTCGGACTCAACAAGATGATACAACAAGATGATACAAGATGCGTGTTTGGGGCTGCTGGTCGTCGTCGGCCGGGGCGTCGTCGTCATCATCACCATCGTCAGCATCACCAGCATCACCATGAGCATCAGCACCAGCATCAGCATCTCAGCATCAGCAGCAGCATCAGCATCAGCACCAGCATCAGCCTCAGCTGCAGCATCACCATGATCGTTTTCATCAGCATCATTACGATCATCATCATCATCATCATCATCAGCATCAGCATCAGCATCAGCATCATCACCATTATCATCATTATTGTCATTGTCGTCGTTATCATGATCACCATACCATTGTCATGATCATCATCATCATCATCGTAGCATCATTGCAACCGTCACAGTTGAGGAGGACCCTACAGATAGAGTGTCTATGATGTCTTCTGATGTAGTTTGCAGACTGCGGAGCGTATCTCGCCATCCACACCCCAGACACGACGAATCTACGAGACTCATCATCGGTTCTCTCACGATTGTCTCTGCGGCGTTCTGTGGCTCGTTTGCTAGACGCTTGTGTCGCACGCCCTGTGGAAAGCGGTCTCCGAGAATGTGCTTCTGCTACAGAAACCAACGAGTCATCGAGACCCTCGCAGCCCTGCGCTCGGTTCAAACTTCCGGTCTTGGGCCACGAGCCCACAAGCCTCGGCACAGGCCCAAACTGAGAAATGCTTATGGAGAAAGAACCACTGCTAGGACTCAGCGCCTGTTCCTTCGCAAGATAACGACTCGTTTGCTTTCCACTTGTGACAGCTGGAGCGATGCCTCCACCACTCTACGATCGCTCCTTTCCGATGACGGACTCCACCCAGCGCCAGACTTATCCAAGGAACGCTTCCTTCAGCTGCCCACCGATACCAAGCCAAGTACGGTCGATCTCCTCTTCCAGGCAGTTGCATGTCGTGTGGAATGCAGGATGGAAGACTTCTTGCAACTCGGGATCTCCAACTGACCTGAGCTGAGAGGATGGACCGTTGGGCTTCGAGTTGGAAGGTCCTCGCGTGGTGGCAGTGACCGCAGAGGCATCCATTCCGATGTCGCATGAACTTCAGCATGTGATGCTTGCTTCGAACTGTGCTACCCAGGGGCAGGCGGAGCAATTGGGGTTACGTGTTGGCTCGCGGCTGTTGGCCGTCGAGGGCGAGGTCATACCTGCGCCTCCTGCGGAGGCCGGAATGGCCAGCTGTCCCCTGACATATGCATATATTACACACACACACACAAACACACATGCAAACACAAGCACGAGCATATGCACAAGCCCAACCTCCAACACAAACGCACACGCGAACACAAGCACAAAAACAAACGCCACGCGCACTTTTTTTTTCAAAGGATGGGTGCACTCGTGGTTCACGATGAAACACGATGATGTTGATAATGATGATGATGATGATGATGATGATGTTGATGATGGCGACGAGGATGAGATGAAGCCCCACGGCCCGAGCTGTGTTGAGAGGGCCCTTTGTGCTTTGCGGGTGTGTGTTGGGGTTGGGGCTGCTGTTTGGGACTCTTCGGTGAAACCACGCATGAGCCATGATGAAGCAGCGGCCAGCTCCGACTATGAAGATCCGGAAGAGCTCACACCGTGGGACCATCGTGACGGCGATCCTCCTAGGCCTCCTTTCGGTGCTGGTCCACCTCGTGGACCGCCGCCACCCATGCCAGTGGGTGGAGCCTTACCAGCCAGAGCAATCCGGGCAGCTGCCAGGGACACCCCGCCTCTTGATGTGGACACGGAGCAAGCCTCAGGTCCTGGCGACTGGGAATGGGATCACCCTGACGGGCCTCAACCTGTTCTGGTGTATGAGGAGAATGTAGTGCGGCGCCTTGCCCGCGTGGCAGGACCTCTTCTGCCCTCAGGTCGCTTCGAAGCCTCCTCCTCTTCCAGCTCGAGCTCCACAGACGGCGAAGGAGGCGATACCTCCTCCGGCAGAACCATCAACTCGCCGCCGGCCGGCGAGGACCCAGACCCTCACGGGGACAATGACCTCGAGTTCTCCGACACATCCTTGTACCTGGAAGGACAAAACCTGGCAGATGCAAAGGAGTTCATCTATGGACAGTACAGACTGGAGTGTATGGAGCGAGCAGAGTCGGAGGGAGTTGAACTCTCTTCGAGATCCCTTGCAGGGCAGGTTGGAGCAGCCAAGAGACGATTGGGGCCCTTGGACTGGGCAAGAGTCCAGTCTTGGGCTCGTGTTAGGCTCACGGGCCCTAGAGCAGAGAGGTGGCACGACTATGAGTATCGAGCCACACACGAGCTACCACGGGGAAGACGAGACCGAAGCCGCCCTCGCGACTGACCTCTTCTGCTGTGTGTGCCAGCGTCTGGCCTTCTTCAGGCCGCGCCCTTTGCATAGCACTGACTGGTTCCGTAGCACCTCTGTTCCCTCCTTAATCTGTCTCTTGTTGTGTTTCCCTAAGTCCCTTCCCCACATAAACTGCCCTAACCCACGCACCCGCCAGCCTCTTCTCCTCCAAAGGAGCAGTTAAGTGCCCAACCACCAGAATAGCCATCAGCTCGGGCCGAGCCGGTCCCAAATCCGGTTTCTATCCCACACTTATGTTAGCGTTGCTTCAGATACCTGGGATAGATGGGGCGAGGGTTGCATCGTGTACCAAGCATGCTGCTGGACCTGCCTCGGCAGGGAAGTCACTTGGTGCAACGCCCGGCGAGCCCCCATCATCACGACTGCTTGCGGTGCACAAGCGTGCATACAGGCGCGCCAGACTTCGAGCTAGTCAATCAGAAACAGGTTACACCTGGTATCGCGGACGATGGCACTCACAAGCCACTCTGCAAGCCCTAGCCCGGCCCTCCCCGACTGCAACCAGGAATCGCGGAGAAGCTGCCAACAGGTCGCGCAGGCCCATTCCGGCACTTCATATGCTCTCTTGGAATTCAGGGGGAGTGTCAGCTAGTCTTTATCAAGAGTTTCTTGCGTGGGTTGCGGATCAGCAGAAGTATCAGCCTCTAGTTGTTCAAGAATCGCATTGGTCGCAGACCTCCGATTACCAGAGTGGAGAGTGGCTGTGCATGCACAGCTCTGGACAAGAGCTCCCTGAGGGCAGGGATAGATACAGCGGACTGTTAGTCCTCTTGTCGCGAAGGCACTTCAAGGAGCCCAGTCTCGTTGAGCACATCCCAGGACGGCTTCTGCAGATACAAGCGGTGTTACGAGCTAGTCAACTCCCTGTCACGATCATTGCAGTGTACCATACGTGTATAACCACAAGCTTCGTAATCACCTATGGCATAAGCTCTCAGATGTCCTTGCCAGGGTTCCTGCTAGACACCACCTAGTCATTTGTGGCGACATGAACAGCACTGTCAAGCCCCACACCCCCCACATAGGCCCTGCGGCTACCCCGGCCGATGCCTATAATCATTCTCCCGAATGGCAAGCACTAATTGCTGAGCATGATCTTTGTGTGCTGAACAGCTGGCACTGTGCGCCCAATGCAACCTATTACTCTGCCCACGGCAATAGTCAAATAGACTTCATCTTGACACGGCGAGGAAAGGCTATTGGGCCAGCTAAACTCGCTGGACCTCTGACTGATTGCCCTGTTGGGGCCTGGAGGGAAACCGGGCACTACCCTGTACAAGCCTCCTTGCCTTTTCTTCCGTATGGCCCCAGGCCGAAATCAGCTGCAGCAGACCGCCCGACTCTGAATGTCGTGGCTCTTCAAGACTCAGTGCAAGCCGGTGACCCCAAGGCTCTTGCGCTCCGTGCGACGGTCGCAGCCAAACTGCAGCAGCTGCCAGTTGCCCTGGACCTAGTCCAGCTACGCACCGCTGTCAATAATACCCTGCTTGAACTGGCCACTGCCAAAGCAGATCTGCGTGTCTGTGCCCAAGCTGACTTCAAAGCCAGTGCCAAGCAAACCTGGGCACTGTATCACCAGGCGAAGCGACCAGGGCCTCGCTCCTTGCAACGCCTGCTTCAACAGTGGAGGTACCTTGTGCTCTTCAGGCGTGCCTCGCAATCCCTGAGGCAACAAAGTCGTGAGATCAAGCGTGACTTCTACTTGCGTCAGGTTGCCGAGGCCGAGCAGGCTGCAGCCAACGGGGACCAAAGAGGCCTCTACTCAGTAATCCGTCGATTGAAGTCTAAGGGCCGACAGCGAGCCTCCAGGACGAAAAATCCTGATCAAACTCCGATGCTTCCGGAGCAGGAAATGCAGGCTGTGCTGCAGTACAGCCGATCCACCTTCGCCTGCATGCAGGATGCCTGTGAGCCTGCTGCACTCCTCGAGGGTCTTGCCCTCAGCAACGAGGAGTATGCTGCTCAGCTCAAGAGCCTGGGCCTCCGCAAAGCAGTGCCACAGCATGTGGCACCCACTGCAATCTGGAGGTTGTGTGCCACCGACATCTCTCGGGTGTTGGGTCCAGCTCTCAGGCAGCACTTTGACGTCGGGCGTCAGCCCGTTCTGGACGAGGACTGGACCGCAGCCTACATCTCGTGGTTGCCGAAGCCGGGGAAGCGGCCGGAACAGGTTGGAGATATGAGGCCAATCGGGCTCATGTGTCCCTCTAGCAAAGCACTGGCAGGCTCCATACGGCAGAAACTTGTGGGCACTCTCCACGAACTTCTTCGGTGGCTACCCCAGTTTGCATAAACCAGAGGCAGAGGTACAATGCATGCTCTCATCAGGGTCCATCATCACTTCCATGAAGTCACAGGTATCCTCCGGGGCAATCGAGTTACGCGCTTCGAAAAACACCAGGGCAAGCAAGCCCTGCCATGCTGTGGGGGCTTGAGTATGTCACTAGACTTATCGAAAGCCTTTGACAAAGTCAATCGCCCCAAGCTGTTTGCATCCCTTGCTGACAATGGTGTTGAGCCTACCACGATTGCTGTTCTCCAGAGTCTGCATCAAAATGCGCAGGAAAAATTTTAGCGTCGGGGAAGTGACAGGCTCCCTAGTCACAAAAAATGGCATCAAACAAGGGTGTAAAGCCGCGCCATATCTATGAATCTATGGAGCTTCTTCTCAATTGCTATTATGCAACGCTTCATTGCATGCAGATCCCTAGAGTGGCTGATGAGAGTCTGCACACTTTTTGCTGATGATCACTGGACCAACTGGGCCATTCTCTCCGAGCAGGCCCTGCGACAGGCGGTTCAGGACATCGAGTTTGTGCTGGAGGTTCTTGAGGACTTCTGCTTGGAGGTAAATTACAAAAAGACGGCAATCATGCTATGCTACGCCTCGAGGTTCGCCAAGCCAAAGCCTTGCTGGCAGAGCTCACCTATGAGCAGGCCGGGGTCGAGTATCTCAGAGTCACTGTACACGGGAAGGAAAAGGGCGTGCCAATCAAGCCCCACCACGTTTACTTGGGCTCTGCTGTTGGCTACCGCGGCCGTCACAACCTCAATGCCAATCAGCGTCTTGCCTCAGGTCACCTGAAGCATCTTGATATCAAGAAAGCACTCAATGGACGCCATCTCCTCAGCACTCAGCATCGTGCTCGCCTCTGGCAGGCATGTATCTACACCAGCATCATGTACTCCCTCCCTGTAGTCCGGCTCACCTCCAAAGGTAGTGATAAGGTCTATAAGATGGCCACTAGGCACCTTAGAGCTTTGACCAAGCAACCAGCCCACATCAGCCACTGTCCCAACCAGCAGATTTGGGACCAGCTCAGCCTCAAGCCGCCCGTTGCTCTTACTATCCAGATCCTTGAAACTTTTATGCAGAGCATGATTCACTCCAGGCAACTGCAGAACGACATTACCAACACCGACCACAACGAAACGTACTTGCAGAATGTGCTTGCTGATTTCAAAAAACTCCCCGCGCATCCCCCCACGACCTCAGCCACTCTTGACGTGCCTACATCCGAAGTCAAGTGCCCAGAGTGTGGCCAAGCCCACACTTCGGAGAATGCTATGCGAATACACTGTCGGCTTGTGCACAAGTACACACCTGTGCATAGCACGCGCACGCCTACCACTTTTGTGCCCCACATTCATGCCAAACTGGGCCTTCCACAGTGCAGCTTGTGTGATCGCAAGTTCTTTCGCTGGGGTAATCTCAAGGAACACATACGCGCTGGTGCTTGTGTGGCTTTGGGTGGGGACTCGCTTGTTCGACATCCTAAGGTTGATGAACCGCCGCTTCAGATTGAAGCTGCTCCTGGCGACCGGCCTCAGGCAGAGCAGAAAACTGATGAAGCAGAGCTGCCCTTGGTGATGCGAGATTCTTTTCATGAGCTCATGCCGTATTGGGAGAAGTATCTTCGGGTGCCTGGCTCCAGGCAGCTGCTACTTTCGCGGTGTGTTCTGTGCAACATGTGGATTGCCGACTCTAAGCATGTCAAGCAACACTATCACAAAGTGCACCACTCCGACTATCCGGACCTTCAGCTTAAGGCTCATAACCTGTGTCGACCATTCAAAGCACAGCTGGTTCGGGGCCGCAACTGCCTCTTCTGTGGTGTCAAGGTGGGAGCCCCACGCGCCACAGTGAACAGTGCACAGTCCTCTTTCAGCTCACCGTGGCAGGTGCATATTGCCATCAGGTTCGGAATGGAGGATCAACAGCTGGCCGAGGATATCTTCAAGGCCTGTTTTCCCAGCAGCGGAGCACCGACTCTTCTCACCCCGACTCAGCAGGCTGTGCCCGCAGCCCCAGCTGCAGCCAACAAGCGCAAGGCTATCAGGCCAGGCCTACCCACGTGACTCCCTTCCCCACCATGTCTCCTTTCCAGATGCCCAGCTCGCTTCAGCCTACGATGAATCCGGAGGCACTGAACCTGGTCACACGTCTCCTGTTGAGACACGAGGACTCAATCAACCTGGCCAACCTCGACCGGGGATTCGTCATCTTTGTCAAACAGGATCGACAGAGTATCCTTCCGTCTATGATGCAGGCGGCCAGGGCCTGGAAGGAGTTGAGTCCGGACTCAACGGAGAAACAACAGCCTCTCCGTACGGTGCTGTTGGCATGCCTTGTGAGGGAACTTCTCCAGAGGCTTCAGACGATATCGGCGACAGCAGCAGGTTGCGAGCCGGCCACACGGGCGGGATGGCTCACGGACGAGGGATGGGTCTACCAGCGTTGGAGCCGGAAGGACAAAAAGCTGGTAACGGATCCGGAGCGTCAGCCAATGACGCACGACAACGCCGTGAGAGCACTGAATGCATTCAAGGCGGATTTGACGGGAGACGTGATACAGCAGTTCAAGGCTACACAGGGGCTGGAGGACATCGAGGCCTCGGGGCAGCAGTCTGCCACGTTTCTGCTGCAGGTCTGTCTGAGGGGCAGCACAGCATCGGAGGTTCACGAAAACCTGCTAAGTCTGGAAAAGTGCTCCCTGACGCACCTGGTCGGGGTCAGCATCAAGCGTCACTCGCCGGCCCGATCTCAGCTGGCAAATCAGCTGGCAAGTTGACCTTTGGGTCTTAAGCCCGGCACTGCCTGCGCAGCCAGACCTTGAGCCAGAAACCCAGCTTCTTCCTCCCTTTAGGCTGTGTAATCCCAATAACCTCTGCTACCTCAACTCCTTTCTGTATGCCCTCTGGATTGTGTCCTCCCCAATGCACCGATCCCAGGTCGTGCCTCGGGTTCTTTGGGATTCTCATGAAAGGCACAGCGCCCTTCATGTTTTGGGGTTCCAACTTATGGGTTGGACACGGCCTCAGAATCAGCATGACGTCGCGGAACGGATTGACTTTCTCCATCCACGACTTGCCGCTGAGGTCATTCGGGGAAGGATTGAAAGTCGCCCCCTCGATGCAGGAGGCCCCATGGTGCTCCCTGAAGACTCGTGTGCCAAATGCATTCGGCTCATTCGGCCATCCAAGCATAAGCCTGAGCTTCAAGCCTTGATCCAATTTTGGCATGAGCAGGATCGAATGTTTGGCCTTACTGAGCCAGTGCCTTGGCTCTTCCTTCAGCTGCCACGGTTTCAGGTGCAACAGCGTCGCACAAAGAAAACACAGCAACAGTATCATCATGTGGACAAGGTCAGTCTTCCCATCTTCATTGACAGCACCACACTTCGTGCTCAATGGAGAGATTACACTGTTATGGGGTACATTCGTCACCATGGCACAACTGTCACCTCAGGCCACTACACTACCCTTCGGGTGACTGGAGCTGACTGGTGGGTCCTTGATGATGCAAAAATTGCCGTGCAAACTTTTGCCAGAGCACCTCTCATCTGTGCAGCGCAACATGTACATAGCTGTTCTTGCACTTGCCACCTCGCAGCTTGTTTCAGCTTGTCTTGCGACGGACCACCATGAGCACACTGTTGAATCCTCGCCGTCTCGACCTGTCTCCGGAGGAGTTGGATTGGGCTGCAGGTCATCTTCATCTTCTCGAATGCCAAAGAGAACTCTCGGCGAGCATGCAGCGACTGCAGCAGGTCTACAACGATCTGGTGTATCGCACAATGCGGCTGGAACGCCATATGGGTTGGATTCGGCAACACAACAAGTGTGTGCACATCGTGATGGGACCGGAGATTATCCATCTCAATGAGCTGGATGACTGAAGCTGCCATGTGCTGTAGCTCGCGAGCGAGCTCAAATCTTTTAATTACCTTTTGCCACGTGCACCTCGGTGCAAAGGGGGCCCCGTAAGTGGGCACCCGTGCCTAGCCGCCACCGAGCGGCCACAGACCAATGGTCTGAGTTGGCGCTCGCTAGACGAGAACTCTTTCGCTGCGTGAGAAGAAGAGGATGAGATGAGCGTTTTGGTGCCAACTACATCAGACACAAGGGAATGGCATACAAAAAACAAGGTGAGATGCTCCGTAAGGGATATGGTTCAGCCGCTCGCTACGCCAAACACAATAGAATGACGTAGCACGATGTGAGATGAGCATGCAAATGATATGAGGCTCACCAAGCTATGCGCGCGGAGATTGTTGGGCGAACAAAGTAGGCACGTTTCCCTGGCGTGTAAGGGAGATCGTTGGACACAGCTCCCTCCACCCCCTCCGTCCTGCTGTCAGATGAATAACGACGTGTGTAGGGGCGTGACCAGCCTTAGCCCATGAACGAGGGCGGTACACACACACAGCTCCGAATAGGGCGCAACGGAAGTGTGTCATCATATGAGATCAGACACAAGCACATGCCGTGCATCAGATCTTTACATTCGTAGCACACATGAACATGTCAGCCGCTTCGCGAACTGCCCGTCAATACCGGGGTGGCTCAGCGCAAAACTCCGGTGGGATGATGATTTTCGGGCGAATCAGTTATCCTGCCATCGCTTCGCTGCGCGTTGACACGGCGAGCGCAAACGAGCGCGCTACAGCGGCCACTGGTAAGATCCAGATCTGCGGGCAGGCTTGACAAAAAACAAATGGCTTGTACTCACACCTGCCAGGTACGAGCAGACACGCTGAGCAACACCTTTGCCTCCTTGCCCACATCAGTCACCACGACCTCCTGAAAGCAGGATTGATGGTGCGCGTTTCACCATTAACTAGATGCCTAACTAGATACAGGCATCGTCTCAACAGAAATACGTTGCAGCGTTAGAGGGAAGGTCAGTGAGCGAAGAAAAACCGAGAATATCGAGCGCCCCGTTGTCGCATCAGCGAGAGGATTCAGTTCGACCGTTGCCGGTACGGTGCGGAGTGTGGCCGCTCGCAACGA